ATGTAGTCAATTTGATTTCTATGTATTCCATCTAGTGAGGTCCATGTGTATGGTCTTCTCTTATGCTGTCTAAAGAAGGTATTTGAAATAAACAAATAATTGGTTTTGCAGAACTCTATCATGTGTTCTCCAGCATCATTTCTATCATAAAGGCCATATTTTCCAAGTACTAATCCTTCCTCTTTGCTCCCAACCTTTGCATTCCAATCACCAGTAATGATCAGTACATCTTGATTGCATGTTTGATAGATTTCAGATTTAAGAATTTGGTAGAATTCTTCTATTTCATCCTCACTGGCTTTAGTGGTTGGTGCGTAAATTTGAGTAATAGTGGAATTAACTGGTCTTCCTTGTAGGTGCATGGATATTATCCTATCACAGACAGCATTGTACCTCATGACTGATCTGGATATGTTCTTTTTGACAATGAATGGAACACCATTCCTCTTCAATTTGTCATTCTCAGCATTGTAAACCATGTGGTTGTCAGATTCAAAATTGCCAATACCAGTCCATTTCAGCTCACTAATGCCCAAGATATCAATGTTTATGTATTCCATTTCATTGTTGACAACTTCCAATTTTTCCAGATTTATACTTCTTACATTCCATGTTCCGATTTTCAATGAATGTTTACAGCTCTTTCTCTTCATTTTGAGTTATGCCCCATCAGCAAATGAAGGTACCAAGGTCTTTTCTCTCCTGGGCTTTACTCCATTCATGTCATCACAGTCAGCTTTTCTTTGAAGAAGCAGCTCTTTCCCAGTTGCATTTTGATTGCTTTCCAACCTGAGGGGCTCATTTTCTGGCACTATATCTGACAGTGTTTCTCTGGTATTCATACAGTTTTCAGTGACTAAATATTCAGAAGTAGTTCGTCACTCATTCTTCCTAGTCTGTCTTCCTCTGGAAGCTCATCTGAAACCTGTCCATCATGGGTGACCCTACTGGTATTTAAAATACCGGTGGCATAGCTTTCAGAATCACAGCAACTCATAAGCCACTACAATATGACAAACTGACAGACAAGTGGTAGCTTTAAGTGCCTCTAAGGACACTAAATTGCCAACCACTGGGTTACAGACAAAGTACTTAACTCCTCCCATCACACAATACTTTCACACTTTTAAACTGAGAGTCAAGTATCCTTTTTTCATCCCCTGTCCCTTTTCTATATTTTTTTAGGATTTTGGTTTCCATAATAAAACAATAATCCGGATTCTAATTGCCAGAAGTGAAATAGACCTGATGACCATAAGAAAACGATACAAAGAGAGATATGGAAAATCCCTATTTCATGATATCAAAGTAAGTCACCTGCAAGTGATATTTTTAGATATATAAGATACCCGTTTGAAACTGAGACAAAAACTTAATTTCAACAAAGTTAAGCGTTCTGACAAAGATGATCTAGTACTTAAGATACCATTAACCTATCAACAGGTGTTTATCTTAGAAACCTCCCTCATTTTTCCTGACAAGAGTTTATACCTCTTTGATATATCTTAAGCAAAAATCATTGTTGTACTCATGTAAAATACTCTGCCCCAAAAATTGTGCTTTAGAGGCTTAAGTCTGCAGTATCATCAGAAGCAGCAGAAGGCACACACCAGGAAAAATACATTTTCCAGAAAGACAACACTAATTATGCAGAAGTTCCTTGAATCAGTTCACCTGGCCTCTCACATCCACATAGAAGGTAGGGCAGCAAGCCAAATCTTACGACTGTTAACTTGGAGGAATCTTACACTAACTAGTTTTATAGAATTTTCCCTATGGCCCTTAAAAGGCAGAAAAGGGTGATTCTGAAGTAAACAACCAATCTCTATCATTTCTAAGCTTTTCACAGGGTTTCAATGAAACCTAGTGAGGCATCTTCAGAATATACAGGCATGACTATATAATTATTGGGGCCCAGTAAAAAATGACAATACTTGACCCCTTCATTCAAAATGTTATTAAAAATTTCATGATGTAGGCAGCTGAGAAATAAATAAAGAATTAGTAGGATCCTGAGAATATATCTTAACTCATATTTGGCACATAACTAAATGTTGTCACCTTTTCATATTGTTTTCATGTAAAATTGTTGAGTACAAAAAGTATTTTATAGTTTAATGAAAAAGTGATCCAGAAGTATGTCAGCAACCCAAGGACCAAGAGACCACAAAATCACAAATGAAAATTTTGTAGGTTTGTGGATATCTGAGGTGGTTTCCAAGAGTAAGAGTTGGTAGAGCAGTGGTTTGAGATAAAACTCTCACTTTTGGAGAGTATACCCACTTTTGGAGTCCTGGTGTGATGCTGCAGGGTAATGTGCTGGACTGCAAGGTCAGTTTCAACCACAAGGTCAGTAATTCAAACTCACCATTTGTTCCTCGGAAACCCTATATAAAAGGTCATTATGAGTCAGAACCAACTCAACAGCACTTAACAATAACAAAAACAACAACAACCACTTTGAAAACCCTACTCTCTCTTTTAATTAATCAATTAATTATCTATAATTAAATGCATTGGGATGAAAAGACACAATCTCTAAAATTAGGACACTTATTGTTTGTTGCATTCCATCAAGTCAACTCAGACACATTACTACCCTGTATAAGGTTTCCAAGGTTGTAAATCTTTACAGGAGCACAAAGACTCATCTTTCTCCCACAGAGTGGTTGGTGGATTCAAACTGCTGGCCTTGTGGTTAGCAGTCCAACAAGTAACCAACTACACCCAAGTACCACTTAGGAAACATACAGTCTAATCAAAAATTTGAAAACCCTTTATATTTTTGTTTTGCTTTAATGGCATTATTTGATATTGCTGTTGTTGTTGTTAAGTCCTGTCTAGTTGGTGTTGAGCCCTGTATAGAGTTGCTGAAGAGCAGCTAGTGTGTTTGAACAGTCAACCTTGTGGTTCGCAGTCCAGTGCTGATCTTACTGTGCCATACCCTCATTATTGTTATTATTGTGTGCTTTCTGTTGAGTCAAATCTTATTCATGGTGACACCAGGTGTTGCAGACTACAACTGCTCCATAAGGTTTTCTTTTCTGCAATCTTAAGGGAAGCATATTGCCAAGTCTTTCTTCCATGGTGCCTCTGATTGAGTTTGAATCACTTACTTGTGCTAAGAATGTTGATGACTACTAGCTAAGTGCAAATTGTGCCACCCAGAGATCTTAAATTCCTTAAAAATCCAAACCAAACCTACTGATATGGAGTTGATTCTGACTCATAGAGAAACTATAGGTAAGAATAGAAATGCAATACAGGGTTTCCAAGTCTGTAAATCTTTATGAAAGTGGACTGCTATCTCTTTCTCCCATTGAATGACTGTTGAATTTGAACCGTGGACCTCTTACTAGAGCTGAGTGTCTTAGCCACTGCTCCACCAAGGCTACTTTTCAAACCTCTTACTGGCAATAAAAATGTTTCATTAAGATTGGAATATCATAACTCATTTTCTAAATAAATAAAGTTGATCTTATGCATGCATTGCAATTAATCACACCTTCTTCAAAGTCAATTAATATTTACAAATAATGCAACTTTACTATACACATTAAAATAAGTGATTTATAGCTTGTTTAAGACTATGTGACAGTAGATTTATAACAATGTTGGTTTTTGTCCTATATTTATTTATTGTCTTTATCATATTGGAATATTTAGAAACTATACCACCCCTCAAAAAATTTAAACCGGTTACAGTTAAATTTATTCCAATTCATAGCTGAATTTTCTGTTAGTAGCTGAAAGCTTTGGCTCCTTTTTAGCAAACTATGTTGTTGTTGTTGTGTGCTGTGGATTCAGTTCCGACTCATAGCGACCCTGTACAGGGTTTCTGAGGCTGTAAATCTTTACAGGAGCAGAAATTCTCCTCTTTCTCCCGCAAAACATCTGGTAGTTTCAAACTACTGACCTTAAGGTTCGCGGCCTGATTCATAACCACTATGGTACCAGATTTTTACAATATTATAAAAAAGAAAATAAGTATTCTATATTCACACACATATGTATATATATAAAACATATGAGGGGAGTTCAAAAGTTCATCGAAGATATCCATTGTCTTTTAACTTCAGTTATTTCAAGAACTTTTTGAAACCCTCTCTTATGTATATATAATACTTTATTTTGTTACTTAAAAAGTCATTTTTATTGACCAATGGTATGTGTGAATGATAAAGTATATAAATTACCCCATATTACTATACATTCAGTTTGATTTTCATTTTGTCACTATTGTAAATAACAGTAAGGTGTATATTTAGCATAAATCTTTGTGGTCATCAATAATTGATAAGATTACTTTAGCAAATATTGCTTATATTACAATTTCTGAATTTATGAGTATAAGTATAATTAAGACTTATGAGATATAATGTCTATTTGCTCTCCATAGGGAGATTACTGATTTATAACAGTAATTTTAGGGTCTCTACTTATGAAGTTGAAATTTCATTCAATTGTAAATTATCCTTCTCATATATAGTGTTCAATCAACTTTGTTTTAACCACATTATATTGACTATAAACATTGTATCATTTTTCAATAACATCCTTTGGGAATAATCCTCAATATACTTTAAATCTTTAAATAAAAATAAATATGAGTGAATTTAGAAAGACCCACAAGGCTTTCAATCTGCATTTCAGAGGAATTAAAGTTCTGTTTGAGAAATACTGTCACATCTTACTTCAAATACATATTTTGTTTCTTTTCAGAATTTTGCTTCAGGACACTATGAGAAAGCACTGCTGGCCATCTGCACTGGAGATAATGAGGATTACTAAAACACAGGGAACAACTGGGAGGACTACACTCTCCTCTTTATAGAAAATCAAAAATATAGATTTTGTGATAAAATTATGCCTCTTGTAGCATGACCAAAAAAAAATCAAATTTTCTCTTCTGTCTTTAAAATTTTCCCCAAATCAGAGAAAATGTTATTGATAAAAGTATATGCCGCTGTATGTTTTCATATTGTCTACATTATCCTGTTATTAAATTATGTATGATGGGTTAATTAAAAAAATATAGTTATCAATGAAATAGAAATTATTTGAATGTGAACTGTTTATATTTTACATGACACTTCTCAAAATGGTCCTAAGCATGTCTTGAGTGATCAAGTATATGACCGTCCCTTTTAAATGAATTTCTGAGACTTTTTACAAATAAAGTTAAAATGAACATCTGAAGCAGTATTTAAAAGAAAATAGCAACAGAAAACAGCAAAAATGCAACTTGATATATATTTGGTAGAGTAATATTCATATGCAGGAGTCCTGGTGTGGCGTTGTGGGTTAATGCGTCAGTCTGTAAAGCTGTTTGAACAGCAAGGTTGGTGGTTCAAGCTCACCAGTGGCTCCTCAGAAACCCTATACAGAGTCACTATGGGTCAGAACCAACTCGATGGCACTTAAGGACAATAATATTCATATGCACAAGGGACTCAAATAAAAATAAACATGTTTGCATGTGGATGTTTGTGAATATGTTTATGTGTAGATTTGACAATCACTCTGGTAAGGCAATTCATCTCCAGTTTTTGGGTTGTTTTTTATGTTTCAGTCAATATCTAACTAAACCACATGCCCAAGGAATGTAGCAAAATCATTGCTCAGAGTCTTTGTGTTTCCATCTTAGCATAAGCAGTAAGTCTGTTGGAAATTACTGTTTTGTCATTCAGTAGAGTGTAGTGCCTTCCATATTTCAAGATTTCAAAAATTGGAATCAGTGAGGAAAAATAATATTAAGGTTAATTTTGAGTCAGATCTACATCTTAGCTATCACCTACAGCAGTATGAAAGCAGAAATAGGGATGAATAACTGATGTGGTGCTGTGGGTTAATGTGTTAGACTGCAAAGCTGTTTGAATTGCAAGGTCGATGGTTCAAGCTCACCAGCTGCTCCTCGGAAACCCTATGCAGGGTCGCTATGGGTCGGAACTGATTCAACAGCATTTAACAACAACAAGTCCACAACAGATGATTCCCAATCAAAGCAAAGGAATACACAAAACCAAGACTGCAGAAGGCAGATAAATGAAATCAGGCAAAATAAATGAAGTTGCATATACAATAATTAGAAACTGAAGTAGATGGAAGTGTTTTATTTAGCAAACACTTTACACTCACTAATGATCCAACCTCTGTAGAAATACCTCTATTGGTCTTAAGAAAATGAAAACCACACTCAGAACTTAGTGTCTGGTAGCACAGATGAACCAGAATATTTAGAAAAGAAAAATCGGACACCAAACAAAAATCACTATTGTATTTCTAGCTTTGAAAAAAAAAACCAGTTATTATTCAAAACAAAAGTAGTAATTGTATGAAACAATGAACATAGATATTATATTGCCATCTCAAATTTTTAATTAAAAAGAAAAGGTGATTGATTTTAGCATATCTATTGGGAATTTAGATATTTAAGTGAAGATTTGCCTCAGTAGGAAGTATTTTATAATTAGCCCAGTAAATTGTGAAATCTATACTTTAGCAAAATAATACATTTTGTTTTTCTGGCATGTTGTTATTGTTAGGTGGCATTGAGTGGATTCCAAGTCATAGCACAACAGAACTAAACACTGCCTGGTCCAACGTCATCCTTGCAATTGTAGTTATGAGGTCTGACCCTCTTTTCCTTTGACCCTCCACTTTGCCAACCATAATGTCCTCTTCTGGGGACTGGTCTCTCCTGATAATATGTCCAATGTATGAAAGACAAAGTCTAAGGAGCCTTCTGGCTGTGCTTGTTTCAAGACAGATTTGTTCATTTTTCTGACAGTCCAAGAAACTTTTACTATTTTTCTCCAATGCCATAACTCAAATGCATAAATTCTTCTAGAGTCTTTCTAATTAATTTTCCAACTTCCAAATGTATATGAGATGATTAAAACTGCCATGGCTTAGGTCAGGCATACCTTAGTCCTCAAACTGCTATCTTTGTTCTTGAAATAGATACCACTTCATTTAAAGAGGTCTTATGCAGAAGATTTCCCTAATGCAATAAATCCTTTGATTCTTGACTGCTGCTTCCATGAGGATTGATTGTAGATCCAAGCAAAATTAAGTCTTTGACAACATCAATCATTTTACCATTATCATGATGCTATTTATAGATCCAATTAGGAGTATTTTTGCTTTCTTTATATTGAGGTATAATCCATAAATAAGGTTATAAGCCTTCATCTTCATCAGTAAGTGTTGTAAGTCTTCTTCATTTCAGGAAACAGTGTTGCATCATCAGCATACAACAGGTTGCTAATGAGTCTTCCTCCAATCTTGATGCTAATACATATTCTTTATATAATCCAACTTCTTGGATTATTTGATATGCATAAACATTGAATAAGTATGGTGAAAGAATACAACTCTGGTGCACACCTTTCCTAATTTTACACTATTCAGTATCTTCTTGTTCTGTTAAAAAAAAACTGCTTCCTGGTCTATGTACAGGTACCTTATGAGCACAATTAATGTTATCCATAGCTTGTCATGATCTACATAGTCAAATGCCGTTTCATAATAAATAAGCCACAAGTAAACATCTTTCTGGTATTCTTTGCTTTCATGCCAGATCCATCTGACATCTTCAATAATATCCCTCTCCCCTCTTCTGAATCCTGACATTTTTTCTGTCAAAGTACTGGTGGAGATGTTTTTAAGTTACCTTCAGTTAAATTTTATTTGTATGTGATATGAATGGTATTGTCCACTGATTTCTGCATTCTGTTGGGCCACCTCTCTTTGTAATGGCCACAAATAAGGATCTATTCTGGCTGGTAGCTATCTTACAAATTTCTAGGCATTGATAACTGAGTGCCACCAGTGCTCTATCAGTTTGTTGAAAGATTTCAATTTATAGTTCCTTAATTCCTGGAGCCTTGTTTTTCACATGCCTTCAAGGCACTTTCAACTTTTTCTTTCAGTACCATTGTTGCATGACAGTATGTTGTTGTTAAGTTCAGTAGAGTCAGTTCCAACTCATAGTGACCCTGTGCAGAACTTCCAAGGAGTAGCAGGTGAGTTTGAGCCATTGTACTTGTTATTCAAACCAACCTTGCAGTCCACTGCTTTATCCCATAGCACCACACCAGGACTCCTCACGATAATATATTGCCTTTGAAATGGTTGAATATTAGCCTTTTCTGTTTGGTATAGTGATTGTGTATACCTTCCATATTTATTTGATGTTTTCTGCATCCTTTAATATTTTACTCATGAAATCCTTCAATATTGCAATTCAAGCCTTCAATGTTTTCTTCAGTTCTTTCAGTTTGACAAATGCTGAGCGTGTTTTTCCTTTTTGGTTTTCTAATTTCAGGTCTTTGCACATTTGATTATAATACTAGACTCTGCCTTCTCCACTGCCCTTTGAAATTTTCTGTCCAGCTCTTTTACTTCCTCATTTCTTCTTTTCACTTTAGCATCTGTATTCTGGAAAGCATGTTTCAGAGTCTCTTATGACATCCTTAATGGTTGATTGTCTTTTCTTTCTTTCCTATCTTTTTAATGACTTTTTACTTTCTTCCTGTATGGTATGTATTATTAATGTCCTCCCAGAGCTCTTCTGATCTTTAGTCATTATTGTCTAATTCATTAAAATCTTTAGATGGTCTCTAAATTCAGATGGGATATTCTCAAGATCATATCTTGACTCTCATGGACTTATTTGAACTTTTTTCTGCTTTAGCCCAAACTTACATTTGAGCATTTAATGGTCTGTTCCACAATCAGCCTCTGTCTGGTCTTGATCTGGCTGATGATATTGCAGTTTCCCACTTCTCTTACCAATATGTAGCTGATTTGATTTCTGTGTATTCCACATGGTGAAGTTCGCATGTGTAATCACCCTTTATGCTGTTAAAAAAATGTATTTGCGATGAATAAGTCATTAATGTTGCAAAATTCTATCATGTGATCTCCAGCATCATTTCTATCACCGAGGCCATATTTTCCCACTACCGATCCTTCCTCTTTTCTTCCAAACTTTGCGTTCCAATCACCTGTAATTATCAATACACCTTGATTACATGTTTGATCAATTACATGTTCTTCAATTTCAAAGCAGCAATCAAGAAATCAAATGACGTATTGCATTAGGCAAACCTGTTGCATAAGATATTTTTAAAGTGTTGAATAGCAAATGTGTCAGCTTGAGGACTAAGGTATGCCTGACCCAAGCCATGGTATTTTTAATAATATCATATGCAGGTGAAAGCTGAACAGTGAATAAGGAAGACTGAAGAAGAACTGATGCTTTTGAGTTATGGTGTTGGAGACTATTGAAAGTGCCACGGGCTGCCAAAGAACCAACAGATCTGTGTTGGAAGAAGTGCAG